ACGGATATGCTTATTTATCTCGAAAACGGTTGTTTTCTCGAACAAAATTGAAAAGCAAAAAAACCCTCTAAATTGAACTAGCCACCCAATTTGCTAACTGGAAGATGTCAGAGGCGTACTACGAAAAAGTTGGGGGGGGGGGATAAAGAAGCCTCAACCCCCAAAAACGTATCACCCTGTAGATTTTAAAAATCTTTAAAATGCTTGAAATGATGTCCTTATAGGAAGTATTAACCACACCAAATTTTAAATTGATATTTTGAAAAGTGAGCGAGATATTTTAATTAATAGAAAAATATAAATAAACTTTGACCCCCTGTAGCTCCGCTACTGATCGAGATCGGACTCATGTTTATATAAACTTTTTTGCTTAAAATGATAAGATCTATCACCCATTTCAGTTTGTGCCTTAAAACCTGAATCACCCTGTATATAGTTAATGCGTAAATAATAAACTTTATTTATAACAAAATATGTTCAAATTAGACAGTTGGCATTACGATATTCGAATTCCTTGGCTTGCGAGACATCAGATTAAGAAAAAGATCGAAATTGGTCCATTAGAATCCGAGATAATGCAGTTTTTTTCGTACATTCGCATTTTGAACCTTCGAATTCAGTCTCGGAGCGAAAGCCCCCTCCCTCACTTTTCGTGTTTTGAGTCGCGTGCGAGCGACAGCTTTTCCGCTGATTTATCTATGTTGCCGATAATATGGATATGAAAATTTCCAACTTAGAACTTGGAAAAACGAAGCCACTGGATCAAAAGATAGTGGTGTTTATAAATTAACGGTAAATGCCGATAAACTTTGACCGTTTATATCTCGAGATACAATAAATGGAATTTAACTTTTTTTTTAAATAAGCGTCATTCCGAGTACTTTAAAATTATAATTTTTTTTTAGTAATTTTATTTATATACACATACTAGTTTTTATCTTTGTGTTCTTTTTTTGTGTATTCTGACTTGCCATAAATGTACTATTGTATATCAAATGGTCAAATAAAGCTATCTATCTATCTATAATCAACCGATTTCAATTTTTCAAAAACCATTTGAAAGTTTGAATGGTCTTTTGTATGTGAAAAAATTTTTCAAGTATCTAGATGCTTTATTTGAGGCTGTGCAAAATTTTGAAAATTTGAAATTTTTTTTCCAAAGAATTATTTTGCTCTAAATTTTGTTTACCAAAATTAGAATGCCCTCGGAGCAATTAAAATATTTTTAAAAATGTATCCAAAAAACTTAATTATTTTGCTTTTTTTTCATGAATTATTGCTATTTTGCAGTGTACTGTGCAAAATTCAATTCTAAAATATTTCCTTTTCAACATTCTTTCAAAATGCATAGATTCCAAGATATAAATAAAAAACTCAGATAAAATAGGTATTTTTTTAAATTTTTTAAACATTTTTTGCAATTTTGAAAATATTCCGGACTTCGCTCAGATCTAAGGATCTAACACTTTTATTATGTGAATTGTACTGAAGGTAGTAATCCAGCAAAAATTAGCCTAATCTTGAAAAACGCGTTCTTTTTAGCTGTAGATTCACCGGTAGTACCGGTACCATTTGTGCTACTTCTTTTGAAAACACCCTGTATAATTGAAGGCTGGACTTGCCATTTTTAAAATTTTTATCTTAATACATGAACTTGAAATTGGATAATGAACAAACCTTGACGCATGAAATCGGGGTCAGAGAGCAATAACATTATTTTTGATAATGCTATTTGTGGAATCAAATTTCCAAAAAGCAGATATGAAGTGTTACACGAGGTTATATATTATCCATGTGTGTAGTATGCTGTTCTGAAGCAATAAAAACACCAAATTTGGTGCTTCACAATTTCCATTTCTATTTATTTCAAATAGGACAACTTCCCAGTAGACAGATAACAATGTTCTCATTTGAGAATAGGTAATATTTTCACTTGTAGTTTAGCAGCATCTGTTTCTTCTTGATTAAAAAATTTAAGCAGTGCCTTGGCTAGGATCATCTTGCTTGACAATTTGATACAGAAATTAAAACATCCAAATTTAAAAACAAATGTCAAAAATAATTTATTTATAAATAATTCGATATTTACATTACTTATTAATAATTTCTAATTTGTAAAACGTTTGAAGCTATTCACAGAACACTTGTGACGTCACACCACTCGATTAGTTCGACCCGCCGACTCAAATTGTTTATTTGTACCTAGTTAACGTTTCGAAAAATCATTCATTATTTTGAGGTAGAAATTGTTGAAAAAAAATCTGTTTTGCACATTAACTAACTACGATTTTCTTTCTGAAAATGAATTTAAAAAATATGCTAAATGAACCCATTGTACTAGAGTATCTCTAAACCTTTTCAACTAGCAGTTGTTCATTGCGGAGCTTTTTTGTGTCAATCTTTGTTTCATTATCACATACTCTCCCTCTTGCGGAGAACATCTTCATGCTTAAAACGTTGTTACAGTCGTTGTCAATTTTGATTTTCCACAAAAAGAACCCTATGAGGGCACAGATGTATACAAAAACGTACATGGCCCCCGCAGTATTCGAGATCATTTCAAAATAACCATCGGTACAGTAACGGTAGATCCAGTGGAAGATATAGAAGAGCCTGTAGAGTCCAAGGGGTACCATGTAGTACAGTAAGCTCTTCTCCACTTCCCTCTGCCTGCAGATCATGTAGACTTGGGGTAGAATAGCTACTGCCTCCAGGAATATGCTGAACGACCACATAACCTAAAAATAACATACAGGGTGTTTCATAAAATTTGCCGATTTGTTATATCTTTTTTTTTTTGGTGTACCGTTGAAGAGATATTTTGAAAAATATTTCAACATTTTTTTATCAGCATGCCAATTATTAAATAGTTTTACCAGTACTATATAAAAAATTCCGAGTGAAACAAAATACATTTATACTTTTTATTAAAGAAAATAATTTTGTGACAATTTTTTTCACTCTAATGATTTGATTTGATAATCTTTCCAGTTTTGAGGTTAGGTTCTTGGGTTAAGGTGTCAGATTTGGGTACAGTATGGCATAAGGTGTGTGCTCTCGGAAAAATTGTTGATCGAATCTGTACAATAAAGATATTTTTCATTTTTTTTATTAATCCTTAATTTAGTGAGTTTAAACTTAGTTAATGTCGGTTTTGAGGTTAGGTTTTTTAAATTCAAATTCATGGTTTGGGTATAACATGTTACGTATGGTTCTACTGAATCTATTTCGTACTTTTGGTATGTAAAAAAACTCTTTTTCCAATGTAAATTTCGTTTAAGGCTTTTAGGTTAGAATGAATAATTTTGACGTTAGGTTTTTGAAGAAAAAACATCAGATATATCATCAAGGGCCATAATAATCAATTTTATTAATAGCAGGTACTTTTGAAACATTTTTTCCTACAACTGAACATCGAGTATTTAAAAATTTTTTTCTTCGACATTGAGGTTGGGGCGCTCCCTAAGCATTAAAAAAAAGGGTTTTTTCGAAAAAACCTCACCGGAATTTAGATTACCACGAGATGGCGAGAATTTTGTCCAATATTTCCCATTGCGCATGGTCTCGAATTTTTCCCATTTGAAATCAAATCATTGAAAAAACATGGCAAATAAACATACCTCTGTAAACGTCATGTCATAGTTGAATTGCAGTGATAACAGGAAACATGGGATCAGCAGCAATTCCGTAAAAAATGTGTCTTCGGTCTTTCTGTAGGACTTCCTGAAGATGACGAATATTAATACCACGATGACGGAGTGCAAAATGATGTAGGTTATCTTGAAAGCGCTGTTATAAATTGTGATGTAATTCGTCCATACATCTAAGTATCTAGCGGAGTACACTAGGGCGAAAAGTACTTGCGTTTTTCCTGAGATGCCTAAAATGTATTTTTTTTTAATCTACATATATTTAGTTTAAATATGTATAAAAATATTTATTAAGGATGTATAGTCTTTCCGATCTCAATTGAAGACCAAAGAAGGCAGTATATACTAGGTTTGGTCGCTACGCAGCAACTATTTGAAAAACTTGTTCCTATATTTATTTAGGCATACCCATATACAGGTCTGGTCGAACTAAAGGTGGTGGTGGTTGAAATGTATACGACCGGTTAAAGAATGAGAACACGGAAAAACGGCGCACAAACACAGCCGCACTGGGCGACTGGGCCATAAATTTCAGTTGTTGACAAATTGCCTAGCAGTACAGCGGAATTATTTTATTGTTGATTAACTTTTCTAACCTAAGATAACAACATTTCCTCATCTTTTCCTGTCACGGATATGTTCATACCTTCCCGTTGGTTCTTGTGAGCAGTAATAATAATTTAATGAAAATGTAAATGCTTTTTGATATGTCATAACCAAAATTTACCATCAATATAATAAAATCGTTTGAGGACATAAATAATTAAAATATGTTGTTGGCAAAATGAACAAATAAAAGAAATTTTTTACACATTATATACAAATTAATATTATTTTTTACCTTTAACAGAAAACTTTTTTAGATACGCATATGAAAGTCATTAAATTTTATTGCTAGGCGTTTTTATACATGTTCAACTGACTTCGGAAAGACTATACGTAATAGACATACGTGAATAACAGACAACATTTACATAAAATATGATAATGAGAAAATAATATTTAATAATTATAATATCTAAACATTCTAGACACAATTCACGCAATAACTGTAACAGTTAACTTTAAGACAATGTTTTATACGTCGACCTCTTCTGAGTACGGCAAATAGAGTATGGATCAGTTTTTTCAGAGAAATAATTGACTTTTGTTTTAAATACATAAAAAGACGTTCTTACTTGTCAAAATATCGAAAGCATAATGAGATTACAAAAGAAAACGTTAAAAGTCAAAAAAAAAGTGCCACAATCTACAAATACACAAATTTAGGCTTTTTTTTAGCTATATTTTTTATTTAATTTTAAGCACATAAAATTCGACTTAGTTCCGATTTTTGAAACAGGCATGTCTTTGGTCTAATTTTTACTTATTTTTTATTTATCTTGTCGATAATGCAATAATATATAGGGTGTAGATGACGACTTCCGGTATAACCGGAAGCGCTACAACAATGGCTTTATAAAGAGAGATAACGGGAGTAGGTGTCCCCGAAATCCCGAAAGCCAAAATTTTCAAAATTGAAATCACAGTAGTCTCTGAAATATTCTAAGAAATAGAGAACCAGAAGATAAAAAAAATAAGACTATTTTTTTTGTGCGCATCGCCAAAGATGATCTTTTAAAATCAAATTTTGGTTATAACTTTTACAAAATGTATTGTGTTGAGTTTTTGTGCTTGTTAGTTTTTGAGGATGCTAAAAATGTTGTTACAAGTAATTTTCAATTTACACTAGGAAAATTAGTGAAAATAAAAGAGAAACTCAAAAAAATTTTTGCAACATAATCAAAATTAATTCAAAAAATATTTATTACAACCATTTTCAATAATAGATATAATGCAATATAATACAACAATTTAAAATATAATTTTTTTTCTATTTTTATGAAAAATAACTTTTTAAATGAACGATAACTTCATTTATTTATTTAATAATAGTAAAATAGTTCCGGAATTGAAATTTTAATTAATATTTCGTTTAATAATAATTTTTGTCACATTTTTGTAAATTAAAAAAAAATTAATTATAAAAATGCATTTTTTCTGGGTTTCAGGGCTATTCTACGAATTCGTAAATATGCCCATTATTTTTTCGTCGAGCTACCGCGGTTAAAAAAAAAGAAATTTTTACGATGAATAGAGGTCTAGATATTGCAAAATTTTACAGCGCGCATCAATTTCAACACCACGCCGGACATTTTATTTAGCAAGTACCTTCTCTTTAAAGGGCGCGTGGGTCGTTAATTTTCCACATTTTTCAGTGCAATTCACGGGAAATCGTAGTTTACGTCATAAATTTTATTTTGCGAAAAAATTAAGTCTTAAAAAAAATTCTTATCTTGGCTCCTGTTGGTCGTAGAGGGTGCTTTTTTCTTAAAAAAAATTGTGTATTTTTTTGCCAGCTATCCATTGAATCTATTCTCGGTGAGGTAGCATAAATAGCAACAATTTTATTCAAATTGTTTATAAGCGAAAAACGCACGATTTTTTAATGCACAATTTGAGAATGTTAATGTCAAAAATACGGTGATATGTTTCAATAGGTCGCTTAATTACGTCTTTAAGATTAGAATGACGTTTTCAGAATCATGTTTGGTTGAAAATTAACGCCTGTACAGAGGCTTAAAGTTCATAACTTTTGGAGTCTCCGTTGTAAACAAATTGAATTGTGCGAAAACTATTGCACCTACAGAGCCCACTTTTGGCACACTTTTAAAGTATGACAAAACTCTCAACTTGTCATAGGTTTTATAAAATTTTAACAATAAATTCGATAGTTATAAACAAATTAAAAAATGGGCACTTCTCTTGTTTTTTTTTTGAAATAACTTTTTTGTTTATTAACCGATTTTAATTTGACAAGTCTCATTTTGTAGATAATTTTACTCCCTACAAGCTGTCTAAGAGTCACTTTTCGCTAAAATTGATGGTTTTTCCCTGCAAAGAGAAAAAACTGTTTTCCTCACATATTTGTTTAAATAGAAAAAGTTAGCTAATAAAAGTTTTTGACTCACGAGATGAGAGATGTCTTGTATTATGTTCCTTTAGACAATTTTACAATAATCTTGCGGATAGGACTTTTTTCGAGTAAAAATTTTATTTACTTGGTGTTATGTTATGTTCTTTTCATTGGAAAGGGTTGTCGCGAATAGGCGCGCCCTCTGAAGCCCTTTTTTGAAAACATTCCTGCTGGAGCGGCGAGACGTGGTTTAGTATTAGTATTGTACGAGAGCTCAACCGAGCAAGAGGTTATTTTGAGATAGAATAAAAAAAATATAAAAAATACAGTCCACACATTTTGTTATTTGAACCAAGCGATACCTATGTTAAAGTCAAGAACACTTGGCCTAATTGTAAAACTCTAGCTGAGAATTTTCTCAATTATATTTTAAAATTTAACTTTAAAGAACAACCAAATGTCCTAACTGATTTTTTTTTTTTCATCTTGAACCCCATTTACTTTGGAAATTGCAAATTGCTTACTTACCCCCACACGATTTCCGTCTAATTAGGTTGGTTAAAAGGTGCAACACAGAAAACAAGTGCAGAAAATCTGCGATAAATTGGAACACGGTCGTCATCGTACAAAAAAACTATTTAACGTCGAATGCATAAAACAGAGTCGAAAAAAATACTCTTCGTGATCTTCACGCGTTGTCAGCGCGCGAATTAAACAGGATCAAAACAGTAATTAATTGTGTTAGAAATTGATATGATGCAACAGTTCGATGATTGTCTTTATAGTTATTTTTATCAAAATAAAAGTATTGTGGAAATATCGTAGATATTATGAGGCGGCGGTATTTCTCTTAAGGTCAAGGCCGTTTCGAACAAGTCTATCGTTCCAAAATTCCCGAGTTAAATAGAATTTTACATAACGAGCGCGGAAAGTACCGTAAATCACACGAAGTGTTATTTTTGCCATAACCCACAACGTAAGAAAAAAGACAAACATTACTAAATTTTTTATATTATTACAACTTTTTATAAAAAGCTATATAGGTATGGAAATTATTATAAGTACATATATAATATTATACACGCTGAAACATTTTATTTAGGCTTTTCGTCATTAAAAATACGCACTGTGTTTCAAAATGATAGCACAAAGTTCATTTTTTTTCTAGTTGCAATTTAAAAAAATCGCTGAAACAGGTCAATTATTAGTAAGTAGAAATTCTCACTTTTCTGCAATATTTTCTATTCTTTTGAGCCATACTTGATAGACCTATAACATTACCGACATTTTTTTTAATAGGACGCTGTATATTTTGTAGTATAAATAGATAGCCCTTCTAAATGCGAATTTAGCGATATAAGGTTATACATACTTGTTTGTCGTAGTTTTCAAAAAAAAAAATATATAAAAAATTGTTTTTTTCTGTCTCTTCTGTACTTTAAAAAACGTATTAAACGTATTAACGTAAAACCTTTATAACATACAATATAGCGTATCGCTACAGACTGCTACTTAAATGCTGAAAATTGGCAACCCTAAATGGAAGCAGGGTCTCCTTAGCCGGCTTCCAGCTATAAAATTTAGCGTGGTAACTCTTCTACTTGGTAATAGGCGGCAGTTCCAGCGGTGGCTTTGTTGCCAAATAATAACTGCTAAATAAATTTAATGCTTTCAATTATGTAATTANGATATTATATCGATTCGAATGGGCGGGGTTTCGATATTATTTCGATGGCAAAATTTTCAAGAGTCCCGATATATCGATATTATTTCGATCTCGATTCGGAATCATCGAATCGACATTTCGGGAGTCCCTGCACAGGGTACTTTTTAACATGGAATAACTGACCATAAAGTCAAAGGTTTAATTTTATTAATTTTTTGTTCGAAATATGCCAGTAATAGCGCTTTTTAAAAAGGCAAACTAATCAAGTTTGTGGACAATTTTTTAAAAATATTTTAATTGCTCCGAGGGCATTCTAATTTTGGTAAAAAAAACTTTAGAGTATAATAAAACAACACACCAAATTTCATTAAAATCGATTAAAATAATTTTTTGAAAACAATTTTCAAAAAAAAGTTTCGAATTTTCAATATGTTACACAGCCTCAAATAAAGCATCTAGATACTTGAAAATTTTTTCACATAGAAAAGACCGCCCAACCTTTCAAATGGTTTTTGAAAAATTGAAATCGGTTGCTTAGGACGGCCACAGTAAATTTTTAAAGTTAACACTCTTTTTTTTATTTTTTAACAATTAGATTATATTTATCAATTTGCAATTTAGTTTTTTTTTTCAAAAATTATAGTTTTAAAGTACTATTTTTTCTTTTTTTTATCTGTATATAACAAAAAAATCAATTTCCAAATAATTTTTTTAAATTTGTTTAAACAAAAATTATTTAAATAATTGTAATAATTATAACTAAATACATTCATATTCAGTGTTGAAATATACATATACGTAAACAAAATTTTTCATTGAAAAAATGCAATAGCATAAGGTAATATATACAGGGTGATTCAGGTTTTAAGGCACAAACTGAAATGGGTGATAGATCTTATCATTTTAAGCAAAAAAGTTTATATAAACTTGAGTCCGATCTCGATCAGTAGCGGAGCTACAGGGGGTCAAAGTTTATTTTTTTTTTCTATTAATTAAAATATCTCGCTCACTTTTCAAAATATCAATTTAAAATTTGGTGTGGTTAATACTTCCTATAAGGACATCATTTCAAGCATTTTAAAGATTTTTAAAATCTACAGGGTGATACGTTTTTGGGGGTTGAGGCTTCTTTATCCCCCCC